ATTAGATTTTTAAGTGAAATAAAAGCTTACGATTTTGTTTCTCGATAAATAAACAGTATTTCAATCGCAACAAAACTAAAATATGGGAACCAGACGAGAGTCGACACTCGTCTATTACAAAAATGAGATCTCAATCTAGATAATTATAATGGAGTCAAGCGCCTCCCATTCTAACGACCTCTAAGAAATTAGTGTCAAGTGTCTAGCGACTCAATGAATTGATTATGTCACTAATAATACTAACATTATTACAAGATCTTATTCAAACGAAATAATTTTATGTGTTTCATTGACCTGTTTCATATACAATAAAATAAAATGAACGAAATTTATATAAATTAATATAAAGTACGAATTCAAAATATCTTCTTAATCGTTTTAATTCGTTAAAAACATTTTTTTTTTAATTGGAAATTTTTCAAATATCTAATTTAAAAAATAAACATCCGAGATATCTCTGAAGAAAATATGGCAAAAATCTATGGCAAAAATGGCGCCAAATTATTGTGAATGTAACGCCACAGTACAAAAGAAAAAAAAAGTCACAGAATATACTGCTACGCTGCCTATGGTAGGTTGCCATTCCTAAAAATTATAGTATCCTCATGTCTCAAGAAGAAAAGCTAGCTAGATTAGTAACTTATATTAAATGACGAGGAATGATACCTAAAGATAACTCAACAATAACCCGTGTGCCTTTTCACATTATCACGCCCTTTTTTAAGAATTTACACCATGTTGAAATCTCTATATATTAACCTAGACTTAGGAGGCAACTCTTTTCCTAACATTGAGCAATCGCGGGAGGAAACTCCTCTGAAATCACATTAAGCGTAACCATATATTTTTCAAGTTCTCAATATAAAGATGAACTTCTCTATCGATGACAATGGAATTTTAAATAATGACACACCATTTAATAGAAATATAATGAACATCTGCAACGTTACCAGTATTATGAATTATCGCATTATAAAATAACAAAGCGCAATAAAATCCGAAAGCAATAATCTTGCGTTGGATAGAGGATTTATCGAGGCATTTAGTAAGGCGTCGATTATCGAACAGTTAGGCGATACAATGGCGGAAGTACGTGCTGCGAACCGAGCGCGCGAGCGGCCGGCGCCAGGGAATTCGATTCCATTTTGTTAATTTCCACACGTCTTGTAATTTGGACGCAAAAGGATAGCGTTAGTAGCCACTGGATTAGTATTTCACTCAATTCCACTGCCAATGGTAATGGTACACCTGCGTCCACTACACTTGAATCGGACGACGGACCGCTGCCTGTAGTAGTGTTGCCAGGTTAGATATTCTTTTCATAATTTTGTGTAACCATTTTTGTCTTCGCTGAATTTTGAAGAACTTTTTAGTTGAGAAAATTTTATTTGAATAATTTTTTTTATCATTTTAGTATTTCTTAAACTATACTGCTGTATAGGTAGCAACATGATTTTATGTACTTTTTTTCATCGTACATCAATGGTTACATGATTAAATGTAATAAAAACTGATACAAGTTTGTGATTGGGTTAAAATAAATGAAAATCAATTTGGCGATTTTTTATTTGACATTTGGGTAAAAATAAAAAATCATATCTAGCAACCCTGGCCGCAAGCCAGGTCTATGTTCTTGTCAATGATCAATCTTCGACTGTTATTAAATATATACCCATATGAAAACACGTGTCACGCGTCTAACGAAGCTTCATTAAGCAATTAATCGATCAAATCTTAGAATTACGACCGTTCGGTATTCAAATTTATTACCGACTGTGCTGCTGCAATTATAACTAATTTTAAGTTTATTAAACTAATCTAATAGCAGTAGAATTAAACAAAATAATAATAATAATTCAGTAGCAAGGAAAATTTACTTTCGCAGTACCTAATTCGGTATAATTCAAAATTGTGTTCCACAAAAAAAAACCTCAGTTGTGATAAAACCAGTTATTTTAATTTAAAAATTAAACTACCTAATCGATTTTAAAAAAATTTCAATGAAACCAATCTACATGTATGTCCATACAGATAAAAAAGAGTAGTGAAAAAAAAATTAAGTAATAAACATAATATAAAATACAAACGTATTGAGAATGATGGTATTTGTGATGGATCGAATCAATATATATTAACATTATATCATACATAGTATGAAATTTATATATTTCACTCAGAATAATGAATAATACTTTATATTTTTTTATACAACTTAGAATGGCAAACAAGCTGACGGCCCATGTGATGGAAAGTGGTAACCGTCGCCTATAGACATGAGCAGTACCATGGACATAACAGAGTATACTGTTTCGCCCATGATACCCCCATGCGTTGCCATTCCTGAGGACTCAGGTGTTATTCCTCCGTACCCAGTAAATTTACGCCATATCCCACTCTTCAAACCGAAACACTGCTGAACGATATCTGGGAAATCACAGTTTACTCTGTGGTGTCCATGATACGGGTCATATTTATAGTAAACGCTTACCACTTACTATCAATTGGACATAAAAGGTTTTTTTTTTATTTTTTTTTTAATTCGCTTCCAAGTACCTCGATTTATTTTTATTTAAAAATACTTTAAAATATTTAATACTCTTTGATGACACCAGATTAAAGAATAAAAAGACGTAGACATGCCCAATTGAGGATAGGTAAAAAATATGGTCAACACCAATGTTGAAATCGAATCAAATATTCAATTCAATTACAATCAGTTGAAAATCCGATTTGCAATTCGAAGAAAGTACTTCGAATGGTAATCGTCCCCATCTTACAAGCAATAGGTTTGATTCGAAGTGATCTGCAAAGGAGCGAGATTATCCATTAAACAAAAGGGAATGAAAAAGTCGTGGTTGTCGTGATCAAAGATTATGTAAGCTCTTGTTTCATTAATGACAACTGTGGACAGGTTACTTGGATTGGTGTAATGTTATTCTCCTACTTGAAAAGCTGAAGTAACTTTTGAAACTTTGAAATTGTTTTATTTTGTATCGTCATTTAAATTTCTGTTGTTGTGCTATGAAAGTTACGCTGAGCAGTTTGTTGTGCATTTGCGACAATCTAAATAAAATAAACTCAATAATTTTGTAATAAAAATAGGTACTTTATGTACCTACGTAAAAACGATAAGTTTTATATTTATATTAAGTCATTTATTTTTTCATAGGGATGACTATTTAGATAATCATTCTAATTAATTATTATAGAGTAATTTGTAACTCGTATGTGTATATGAAAGAAAGAAAGAAATATTTTATTCCGAGTAAACTTAGTTTTTTTAATAATAATTTTTCATTATTTTCGAAACGCAATTTTAGCCAAGAAGAACAGATAAGAAACTTAGCTGTTGGTTTTTTCAAAAATTTCCATTATATCAATAATGAATTTGTGTAAATACAAACTACTAACCAATATCAGATCATTAAAAATAAATAAATATGTTATTAATTTAAAAAAAAATTATCTATTCGTAATTCTCTCTTTTTTTAAGTCCAATAAAATTATAATACAAATAGGAATAGTCATTGGTATTTTTTCTTTTATAAAGCAGGGGGCAAACAAACATGCTGTTCACCTGATGGTAATTATTCTGCATATAGGTACCTACAAGGAGGGTGGAATGGGATTATTAGTAATCTATTACTTTGTACAAAAGTAGTTTGCTTGGGCACTATGTCCTATTCGTGTTTCTACCGTGAAGCAGTTGTGTATGCATGACTGTGTTTCGATTTGAAGTGTAGGATATGGCAGTGAATTTACAGAGTACAGAGGAACAACACCTAAGTCCTCAGGAATGGCAACACATGGGGGTATCATGGGCGAAACAGTATACTCTGTTATGTGCATGATACTGCTCATGTCTATAGGCGACGGTTACCACGTTGCATCAGGTGGGCCGTCAGCTTGTTTACCATTCTAAGTTGAATAAAAAAAAACCTATGCTAGCCTCTTATGATCTGCTGTAGGAGGTTCATCTGTTCTAAAGATTACGCTAAAAAAAATACCCTGAATATCGAAACGTAGGTATTACTTAGGATTTATTTCAATACACAAAAATAATATTTTATTACAAACGCACAGTGCGTTTAATCAAAATCCAGTGCTATCCAGCACTTAACATATTAAAGACACTTTCCAAGTCTAGCGTCTACGCAGATACGTCACTAGAGAAATTACCTACTTTCATACATCTATTAGCCAATTGTGGAGCGTGCCGTGTTAAATTAGCCGTAGATTATTTGGCGGTAACATTAGCCCACATACAAGATACCCTGGTGCTGCGTAGTGCTGGTGCGTATGAACAGGTGCGCCGGAGGCCGCAAGGTTCGATCCGGCAGCGGTTGTTCAAATATTGTAATTCGATCTTAGATTCTATTACACTATTAAAATGTAGGTATTACTTTTTATTTTAAGAATTTCTTTTGAGTGTTTTATTTTTTATTCTTAATCTAAGATGAAAATTAATCAATTTACGTGGTGATTAAATTTACATTACGAATATATTTTAGTTAAATCATAACATTAATATCTCAGTAGATATTATGGTCAATAAATAATTTAAATAACACTTATTGATTATAATTATTAAAAAAAAATTAGCGATTGCCAGTATTTCTTTCGCATTGAAACTGGGAACACGACCCAAATAGCAGAGAGCCGTAGGTTTGATTTCCATTGAATCGGATCGTCGAAAGGTATTTTTCAATCTACTTATTAATAACTTAGGATTCCCAAATGCAGAGTGACGCAATAAAAATATTTCCAAACATATATTTTGTTTTGATTAACATTTAAACATAAATACTCAAAATAATTTGACGTGTAATAAATTGATACCTATATCACACTAAAGTATCAAAATTAGAATTAGGGTAAATTTAATTAAACTTAAAAATAACTGTACTTGCGATCTTGGATAATCTGATTGCTAAACATTCCTATGAACAATTTATGATGAAAACAATCGAATCCAACAGGCATGCGTGTAAGAAACTCACCTGGCTGGATCTCCAATCAGCTAATACACTAGAACAATTAAACACATACACAGTCACAGATAACTTTAGCTCGTTTGTTCAGTTTCGACACAAAACACTCGTGGAGGTGCGCAGGAGTGGCGTGCGCGCGCGATCGTCTATCGCTCCGTTATGTTGCGCTTGGCTCACTGCGTTTGCTCCATGGAAAGCGGTCGCGATTTATAACAAAGAGTAACTTGTTTTATGCAGACAGGAATAAAGGCAAAATTATAAATTGAGTACCTACACAATTCCAAGTACCTACTTGGAATTATTTTTTGGATTGATTAAAATTGTACATTTTACCTAATCCACACCTTAGGACTAATAACTTGACAATGCCTTTAAGACCAATCAGAGTCATAATTGTTTAATTAACTGCACATCAAATCTTATCAAATCACGATATACAGAAAACCGAATCTATCCTTACTCATATCCTGCTTCCTGCACTTTAACAACTCGATAGCAAGACATTTGATTCCTTCGGTCGGTCTCCATCAACATCTTCCTTCTTACATTTTTAAATTTTATATGTATTTGATCATACTTTTGTCCATAATTCTACGTATTCTAGTATTATTCACAATCCCGAATCAAATCATGCCCGTAATGGGTATATTTTCATTTTTGTATCAACATAAACAAAACCAGTTATTGTTTATTATTGAATTCAGTGCATTGCTTGCATCTTCCCTAAATATTACATACTTATAACTTCAACAGGACTTGCAGTTTTTGCCTTTTGCGGTCTGTCTGTCAAAATAACTGTGGTTTTGCAAGATTTGCAATTTGTAACATTCTACGAGTATACCTTTCCCTTAAAGAATTTATGTCTTTTTTTAAATTCACATTCTTTATTATTATTAATTATATTATGTCAAAACATACCAAATAAATAAATACAAATTATCTTCAAAATTCAAGTAAGTAGTCTTCAACAGTCATAACTAAAGTTTGCTGCCTACATGTCATTACTGTTGAATTTAATCTATGACACACACAGGTTATCAATGAAGATGGTCGATGTTATCTCGTTGTCGAACGTGCAGCGAAAGTGGAAACGACCCCGGCCCGGTGCACCGTTGACAAACGCACTTCCAAGAATACCAGGCGGCTTATTACCAACCTTTAAATATTTGACAGGTCTGGGTCACGTGACTGCAAACTGACCTGCTTCGTCTGTGCTTTCAGAGCTCAATTTCATCTGTAAAACTGTAAGGGTTTTAATTTTTTTTTTACTTTTTTTACATTTTACAATTAAAAAGATATTTTTTTCCTTTAAGTAATTTATATACCATATTCGTATATTACCCTTAGCGATAACACCGCCCTTTGTACCTTTATGTATATATTTCAATCTGTATATATGTTACTGTATTTCACTTGAATTATTCATTCATTGTATATTTTTGTTTCTAGTGCATTAAAGAGTTAAATAAATAAATAGGGATAATAATAGAGACATATTTGACAATATAAAATTTCAGACAATCTTTTCATATTTAAAACTTGGCAACATGAGTTCTGACCTTAGCCTTTTCTTCTGAGGAACCAATGTACCAAAAAATATAGACAAACAAAGCGGAACAATGAGTTGGAAACGATTTTTCAAAGCAACCTTTGAGTAACAATTGAACAAAACTATTACAGACTCATTACTGATAATATTTTAAAGAAATAAACGTAAACCTTTTAGGACTGTTAGTTCGTCCAGCCGTCCATACGAGTACGTCTCTCAAGACCCATATTCTTAGGAATGCGTGAAGATATCAAATTGAAATAAATATCACATACTCAGGTCCGTAATCTTTTAAAGCAGTGAAAAAATCAAGCTTCTAAATCGACGCAATCAAAAGATACGGCTGTTTATGTTCCATTTATATCGCATATTTTGACATTCGCTAAGGCAATCAAAACCTATAGGGCACTTCCCGTTGACCTAGAATCATGAAATGTGGTAAGAAGCAATGTCATGTAGCACAAGTAAAGGAAAAAATCCGAAAATCGTAAATTTGTAGTTATTTCACAAAAAAAATTAAAGTTGATGATTTTGTACGGAATCCTCGTTGCGTGAGTCCGATACGCGCTTGACCAGCTTATTTAAATGACAAACAAGTCGACGGTTCACTTGATGGAAAGTGAATTTATTACCTCTTATTTTTACCACCCTCATCATAGGTTATTCCGTGAGCTCTATAAATATATCCGTTATCCTGTACTTAATTATTATTATTGGCAATTTTTTCATAAAATTATATAGAAATCGAAAGCGCTGTGAAAGCTTCGTCTCAGTGCATTACTGGTAAACGTTACTAAGGATATCCGTACGCGATAATTATAATTGATAACAAAGTATGTAAAATTTACATACCTACACCAATACGCAAGTTATTTTGTCACGGGACCATACTGTCTTCCAAATCGATGGCGGATTTCCGTTAAGTATCTGGCGTCTGTTTGCGAATTCAAAATGAGTATTTTTACGTGTGCTTACGATTGAGCTATTAATATATTTTATTTGTAAAGTCCAATTGAAAGTATAGCTACACCTACTTTTGACCAAAAAAGGTATGATTTACAAGAGGGAGACTTTGTGCAAAAGTCGATTGCTTGGGTACCTCTGTCCTATTCGTGTTTCAACCGTGAAGCAGCTGTGTTTGCATGGCTATGTTTCGGTTTGAAGGGTGGGATATGGCATGAATTTACAGAGTACAAAGGAATAACACCTGAGTGCTCAGGAATGGCAACGCATGGGGGGTATCATGGGCGAAACAGTATACAGTAGCCAAGCAATCGACTTTTGTACAAAGTCTCCCTCTGGTATATTGCTAAAATAAGATATTATAATTATTATCCTAAATTAAAAATCCTCTTTTTATTGGAAAATAGAAATTTATAATGATGTTGTTAACGTAATAAATCTTCTCAGATGTCTATTTTCGCTTCATACGATTCCACATTCAGGCGGCGTCGCGACGCTGGCCTTGACTGGCCCGCAGAATATCAACGGAGGGGAAATGCGAATGATATCCTGCTCTCGGCATGTGTGTATGTTTATGTTAGTTATTTATAAGGCGGCCCGCACGCAAGGTCGGCCGAGAAATTTATGGTAATTTCTTTTCTCGAATACCTGCATCTCTCTTGCAGTTTACAACGATATAGGTGAATAACAACTGTATATTTGTTTCTTTCATCATTTTTGTTATGTGAAATGTGAATAGAACTCTAATTTCCGCGCTTAGCCTCTCATTTGGGCCGTTGTGCTTATAAAATATTTTTTTTTAATACAACTTAGAATGGCAAACAAGCTGACGGCCCACCTGATGGAAAGTGGTAACCGTCGCCTATAGACATGAGCAGTACCATGGACGTAACAGACTGTTTCGCCCATGAAACCCCCTACGTTGCTATTCCTGAGGACTCAGATGTTATTCCTCTGTACCCAGTAAATTCACGCCATATCCCACCCTTCAAACCGAAACACAACCATGTAAACACAGCTGCTTCACGGTTGAAACACGGATAGGACAGAGGTACCTAAGTAATCGACTTTTGTACAAAGTCTGCCTCTGGTGAAAAATTTGGTTATGTGAATAAATAACCTATTTTTTTAATTGTTTCTTCAAAGGTCAGTTACCTAATTTAGCTTCGTTTTTTTTTTTCAATTTGAACAAGTGAACGAGCTGATAACACATACGATGAGAGAAAAGAAATCCTCATTCATGTGGTAGCATGGACCCATTACTGGCAAAGTTCACCTCTGAAGGATACGTCTTGGAAACCACCTTGGTCAATTCCTGCTAAATTAATGGATGATAATGGAATGGTAAACCCGCCTGCGCTAACGGTATACGCTGGCGGGGCATCAGTGATAGATGACAGGTGAGGATGAAAAGGCAGGTCAGTTAGCCCATCGTGATGAATACACTTGGAATTCAGCACGATAGTTTCCAGGGGACACCACGGGGAGGTCGACCTGTTAGGGTATATTACTAGCAATAGAACTGATAATCCGCATTACTAACAATCCCTTCTCCCCCCCCCCTGCTAAATTCATCATGACAAGCCAACTTCATTTTCATTTATCATCATTCAATAACTCCAACACCAAATACCGACAGCGGAGGGGAAGGGATCGTTAGTAATGCGGGCTACCAGTCCCATTGCTAACAATATACCCTGTCAGCTCGACCTCCACGCGGTTCCCCCTGGAAACCATCGTGCTGAGTCCCAGGTGTATTCATCACGATGGGCTGACTGACCTGCTTTTTTCATTATACACCTATCATCCCTCACTGGAGCTCCGCCAGCGTATACCGTTAGCGCAGGCGGGGTTACCATTCCATTAATCATGCATTAAAAAAAAATACCGACAGCGTAGGTGGAGATGCAATGTATTCTATATTTTCATCTTTAACAAAAAATATGAATAATAAACAGATCGATTTTGCATATAATTTGTTTGCTCTTTCATTTACTCTTCTAATATGTACATTAATTAATTATTTGTTATAATACTATTTTATGTATGTATTTATTATATGTATATATTTATTTGTTTAACATATTATGTGTATGTTTAGATTTGTCTTATTATATATTTATAATATATTAAGTATAAATTGCATTTCCTCTATTCAATAATGCACCGCCTACTTATTTCTCTATTCGCCCAATGGTTGACTGGTAGAGAACACCGTCCGGTGTTAAGTCCGCCATATGTACTTACATATAATTTTACTGTGCATTAAAGTTTAAAACAAAAAATAATAATTTGTTTATATCTTTATATTTTCTATTTGTAAATTAATATTCTGTTTTTTTTAAAGGGTGATAATGGAATGGTAACTCCACCCGCGCTATCGATATACGCTAACGGGGCACCAATAAGGGATGATAGGTGACGACGAAAGCAGGCCAGTTAGCCCATCGTGACAAATTTCACTAGAATTAACCGTAACGGTTTTCAGGGAGAATCGCGTGGTGATTGACCTCATAGGGTGTATAGTTAACAATGGGTCAGTTAGACCCCACTACTAAACCCTTTTCCCCATTAATATTTAGTTATATGTATATATAAAACTATGAATTTCTAAATAAAAACAAACGACAAATTTAACTGGCC